CGACCGTTAGCCGACCGTTAGCTATGTTCCCTCACCGCTGGCTCGGTTCTGAAACAACCCGCTTATTGCAATGAGCCGGCTGACTCACACCGAACCGGGAGCATGGGCGCCGTTTGGATTTCACACACTACACTAATAAAAACCGGGATGGTGCAACGGAGCGAGGTAACGTTAACGTCAGCCACCCAACGGTCACCGTTAGTAAACATGCTAGTTAGTTAGCTTGTTTACCAACGGTACCCGCCTTCACCTCCGCTTCACCTCCGCTTCAGCAGCTTCTCATCGGTTAATCCTCCCGGTTAAACACCGACCGCTTCGTGCTCATTTACCGGCAGTAACTGCCTCTGCACCGGGTCGCGGTTGTGTTTTAACGGCACACACGGAGCTCCTTGGAGACGCGAGCTGTTGCTAACCTTTATGTAGCCGTTTAAAAAAAAAAAAAAAAGAAAAGTCATTCTCCACATGTGTCCTGTCAGTCACACCAACACCAACAAAGCAGTGGAGGCTGTTTTATTGTGTTTGTTGCACCTTCGTTAGTTTGCGGTGTGGAGAGAGAAAATGTGAATGAATGTTTTAAACGTGTGTTTCAGTGAGGGGCGTGCGTCACTGATGCCAGGTGCGGGGCTGTAGCTGAGAGCGCTCAGGATGAGTGCGGCTGGAGAGCACACAGACATCCTGTCAGTGGCAGACCTGGTCAGAGACAGATGGAAAGTGGTGAGGAGAGCAGAAATCACACAACCTAAAAACCACACACACACAAAAAAAACACAAAAAATGAAACAAGATTGAGAGAATTTGAGAATGAGTGCTTCTTTTCTCTCCCCAGACGAGGAAGATAGGTGGAGGAGGGTTTGGGGAGATCTACGAGGTTCTGGATCAGCTGAGCCAGGCCACTGTTGCCTTAAAGGTGGAGTCCGCTCAGCAGCCCAAACAGGTGCTGAAGATGGAGGTGGCCGTGCTGAAGAAGCTTCAAGGTGAGTGCTGCCAAATCAGTGCGTGAGTATTTGAATCATTTCCCCCTCTGGGATTATTAAAGTGTGTCTGATTCTGAACCATTTTGTCCATTTTAGTTAGCAGATTGTGGCCCGACAGTAGCCAGACCTATTAAACATATGGTATTAACTGTGTTTCATAAAACGTACCAGTGTTTTTTTGTTTTTCTATGCCACAAAATCACAAAATCACAAGTAGAGTGGGGCTGCACATTGTGGTAAATACATCATGTTGCCATTATTTAGTCAGAATCAGCGATTAGTGGGAATTAATGCGTCACAAATTGAATTTTCAGCGATGAAAAAACGTTTAAAATCACGATGATGTGACATTTTTTTTATGTCTCTTAAATCTGGAGAACAATTTGAGTCGTTATGATGCAAAAATTGCAGCTTCTGCGCGT